TATTGAGCATAACGATTTGGCACATTTTTGTTGCTTCCGCAATTTGATTACCATCTTCTTAGTTTTAATAATATTTAATTCATATTTTGCTGATATATATAGTTTTGTACTATAAAAATCCTTCAATTTTTACTAGAAAATTTGAAGATCTCCAAAAATATATTGAAGATATTATCACGTTAGTTAATTCACTTTTTACTGATAATAAGAGGGGGTTTTTAAACTATAAAATAACTTTTTATCAGCAAATGTGAAGATCCAAAAATATATTGACAATATCATCTATGTGGTTGTTAATTGGCAAATTTATTGCATGTAATTTTCAATTGGAATATACAAATGGGAGCAATCCATAAAGTAGTGAATTTTATCAGAAAAGTTTATTATTTCAACATAGTCAGTGTATATAATATCCTTAAAGAAGTGTTTTATGATTCTTAGACAGTCTTGGACATTACTTAGACTGGGTGTCTGCAACTCAATCTTCACTCATGGAGTGTAAAAACAGAAACGTATGTAACAACAGATTCATTTCAGAGAAACAGCAACCACAGAAGAGAGATTGATTATGGTTTAAAGTTATAGTATGATCACGTATGAATTTATCAAAAGTGGCAGCGTAGCTATAGGGGTTTTAACTCAAGTACTGCACTATGGTAGACTTGGCTTAAATCATGATAATTCTTAACACTTCAGCTAATACCAACTACTTGTATCCTGATACTTACTAAATTATTTGTAATTTTTTGTAGATCAATAGACATATCATCTTTCAAATACCTAGTTGACTGTCCCTTGAATTGGTTAAATAAATAAATGAATGTCATAAATGATTTTAAAAATGATGAATAGGAGAATAATAATAGATAGAAGAAATTAATGGAAAATGAATGGTTATTTAAATAGGAGCCTGCTGATAATACAAAAATTACATGAAATGATCAAGAATGGACTAGTATGGTCTTCTTTGTAATAATTGACATTTGTGTTCGATGCAGATTAAATAAACAAATTTTAATTACATGTTAATTTGCATGGGAATGTTAAAGGTATAATTTATATTACCTTAATTGAAGACCACATGAATGAGTTAAGACAATTATAAAATGATTTATCAGGCGTAATGTAATAACTGTAGATAATAATTAGAAGTGATGATAAATAAAAACAAACATAAGAAAGTATGCAAACATAAAAACTTAAAAAAGATTATAAAGTGCTAATATCATACTAAACTATATAATAGTTTGTATGCACTGGTGTATTGTGTTGATTACAAATTTCAATGTACCATTTTTTTATATTTTAATTTACTTTTAACATATACCCTTTTGTATACTTAAGCCTATTAAAATTTTGTTGACCAACCCCTCCCCCCACCCTTTGAAAATTCTCGATCCACCCCAGTCCTGCTAGATCACAAAACAATACAACACAAATATTTTTTGCACTTGCTCTCTCTCAAAAAATGTCTTATTGGAACTTCAGCAAATTATTTATTTGTAAAAGTTATAACTCAGAAAAATAAATATGAAAGTAGTGTATTTATTGTACTGTAAACCTCCCAAATAGATATCACACTTGGTACTTCAAGATTTCTAAGGAAACTTAAAGATGTCAAAATTGATTAAGCCCCACTAAAGAATATCAACTAAATATTATATTTTCATGGCCAAAAATTCTCATTATCACTGTACTTATTTCTCATCTTTCATTGTACAATTGGAATTTTATTGTTTGGAATTTTTTTTATTACAGTTGTAAAACCAGTAGGATTTACAGCTGCAGCAAAAGATGTTTTAGTAATCTCTGAAACAACACAACTGGTTATTAAATCAAATTTATCTTTTCAAAATATTACAAATTATTTTTAAATTTTCAATACAATGATGACCTTTATACATTGTGTCCAACCGATCTGTCCTCCACAGGAGTGGAAGCTAGAGAAGGTTTATTTGTTGCCATAGAAATGCGTAACCCTGGGGGAAAGACACCTGTGAATTCAAGCAGAACTGGATCAAACTTGATTGAAAGAATTGTAAAAAAATCATTTTCAATCAGAGCTATTTGGGAAAGTAATTTGTTTACAAGAGAAATAGCACCTGGAGATGTCCAGTTCCGTGGAAACAAGGATTTCTTGTATTTTCAGCTGGATCTGTGGACATCGATGGTGAAATAAAATATCGCAAATAGAAACTAATGTGTATATTTTCTTGCCAACTGTTACCTAATTCAAATTAAAAGTTTTGATTGATATCTCACGACAGAAATAATATTAAATTCCAAATATTTCAATTCAATATCAATTCAGTTTCATTACATGAGCTCTCTTGGTTGATAATTTGCAAAAACTGACAAAAAAGTATCTACATACTATACACAGATACCCTAAAAAAAAAATAAAAAGTAAATTTAATCCTTTAAAATTTGAAAGCATTCTTTATATACCAATCAATTAGGTTAAAGAAGGGTCAAGATAGAAAGTGATCAGGAATTAGGTTGGGTCAAGTGAAGGAAAAAATGGTGTTTCCACAAAAGGAAAAGTAAAAAGCAGTGTTAGCAGATGTAACAAGAGGTTAACACTGCATAAAAGCAAGATAATAATATTCAACATTAAATGGCAAATCCATTTCAAGTATACATTATTAAACAATTTAGGAATTTATTGTCTGATTGCTGTTGGTACAAATAATTGCAACTAAGCTTTCCATATATTATATGTGTTCATTTTTTGTTTGTTTGTTTACTACTATTGATTGAAACATAAGCTCTTCATTTCAATCTTGAATTATATTTTGAGCATTTTTATACGTGAATAAAAAAAAAATACTATACATATTGAACCTTCCTTTTGTGGTAAAGAATAATATCCTACTACAAAACTACCATTTATGGGTTTAAAAAAAAGTATATATTGGGCAAGATTTTTTATTCCTTGTTTCGCAAAATATTATTTTTAAGATCATTAGAGGAGAGCGGAAAAAAAAAATAAAGTTTTGTTTTCTTATTTAGCAAAGTTTTGCCAAATACATCCAGAGTGACGGAAGAGAAAATAAAAATAAAATTTTATTGGTATGTAAACAGTGGCATAATGGGATATTTAAATGTTTTTAATTTATATAATTAGGAAAAATATACATATCTTATCTTTTGAAATTTTGAGGCAGCGGAAGGCATAATAAAAATGTTTAAAAAAAAAATTTTTTTCTGAAATTTTCCGTGGCAGCGGTTACGCTAATTGGTCAAAAATAAAATTGTATTTTTATTTGAAATCATCATTATTTGCAGGCAGCGGGTTCGCTAAACAAGGTATAAAAGAATTCTTGACATTAATTATTCAAAAAACATTTGATTATTCAGAAAACTTGTCTTTCAAAAATATTCAAAGTTATTTCATAATTTACAAATAATTAATATATCCTGTCTGCACTCTAAATTTGATGCAGACTTACTTTCTATGACTATGCATTTCAAACAATTTCATGTTTTAATTTTATAAGCACCAAAGAAGAAGAGGTAAATGGTACTGCAATGGAGAACTCTGCCTTGGGATGGCAGTAAAACAACCACAAAATAATATGAGAGTATTAATAAGCCTATTAATGTTCATAGACTCTTGAAAATAGATATTTATATTAACATTTACTCTAAAATATTGAGGAAATGGTAACTAACTAGAAAAATAATTGCCTTCTTGGACTTATTGTAATTTCCCATAATAGTTTTGCCTTTAATAAGTAAAGCAAGTCAGGAAAAGAAAGTGTTCGCCTCTGATTGTCTGAGAGGAAGCCTTTTATTAACAACGTTCTTGAAGTGTTTGATAATGCAATCACAGGTGAAAATAGGGTCTGTGGTAACCCTATCGCTGTCTTTAATTTTACTGTGAATACTTGAGTATGTATGTGTTTGACAGATAAATTTTGTAAATCCTGTAATTAGGACTAGAAGTGAAATTGTTTCAGCAACAGTTGATCCTAAAACTGATGAAATAAGACAGAAAGAATCTGTTGCAATAAATCAGTTTTCAGAGAGCAACTCTAACTTAAATGTTCTCGCTCTTGTTGTTTGTTTAGGCATTTCAAGATTTTCATTGTGTTAGGATTTTAGAGACTTTTTATTCTGTTTAATTTGTTTTGTAGTTCATCGTAATGTCATTGTTCCATGTATTCCATTCCCTTAAAGGCGGGCTTCCAGTGGTAGGATGTGAATAGAAATAAAATAAAATAGATACTACAAAAAGATATTTAACCTAAGATTCTAATGTGATCACCATAGGTTGGATAAAATATCCTAACAATTTTACCATTATCTTAATTGTTTAAATTGTTGTAATATATCCTTGACACCCCAGAGCTGGATTTTGAGTGGGCAAATAATCTTCCCTTAGAATGGCTGTAAAAACTTGCGAAGCATGTGTTGTCTAATATTAAATTTTTAGGAGCTATATTTTAGTTTTTATTGGTCCTGCACAATAAAATACAATGTAAAAATGTTACAAAAAGACTGTCCACATATACAACACAATTAAAGTTATACAAAAAAATGTTGAAGATTTTAAATGTCACAAATCGAACATCAAACTCCATGATATACATTATTTTACAATAAAAATGGTATAACAATAAACAAAGCATACATTTCATTTAATTTTGATGCTGAATGTATCATTAAAAACAAAACCTAGGTCCCAAGGTAGCCCATCTGTAAGCTTAAAAATGATAACAGAAATTCTAGATTAAAAATTAAAAGGAACAGATTATTACATTAATATTACCAAATGTAGTTGACATCATAACGTTAATATCACACAAACCTCTAGATAATTGTTACGGAAGACTGACGCTATCTAACAGTAGTTTTCGTAAACAGTAGGCATGCACTATGCACAGTGCAATTTAAACTGCCTTTAATGCACAGTTTGCTATGTCTCTGTCATATCCAAAACCACCACGAAACCAAGAACCTACGTCAGCTCTGAATAATGTTATGATGACACATACCCTGTTGATAAACATTTTTGTCCAAAATTAGCAGGGCTGCCAGTCTCCAAGGGTCAAGCGGTGTGGTCTTCACCGTGTGCAACTGCCCGATATCAGTTTGGAAGTCTTGTAATCATAACTAGAAATTTACTAAAACAACATCGCTGATTGCTTCTATGGATTACTAAGGAAAATGAAATAAGAACAAGGATTGCGGTTGAATGCGACACTTGCTAGGAGCACCACAGGATGCAAATTTTCTGACCATGTTAAAACTAGGGCAACATCCTTAATTCAGAAATAACAAGATGGAGATGTAATATGGATAGTAAGCACATTAACTTAACAGAACTATAGTTCTGCTTGTAATAATAATAATAATTCTGGATTTATATAGCGCCTCACGTTGACACAACCTCGAGGCGCTTAACAACAACAGAGAAGAAGAAAAATTAATTAAGTTCAAATAATTGGTTTGATGATTATCAATAAATGTTATTATTACAATGCTTTGGTAATTGGAATCATTAATCATTAACTCATAATCTGCACATCATTATCAACTATTTAAAAATTTGCCTCCTTTTTTTTCAACATGATCATCACCACAAGAACACATCATCATAAGAATCTTCGCCATCATCATTAACATTGTCATCATCATCATCATCATCATCATCGTCGTCGTCAATAACAAACTCATTCATTCAAATTCGTTATTATGGTACTAATAAATACCATGTTTAGTTTAAGGATTAGACTTAAGGTTTTTTTTTTTGTTCAACGTATTTTGTTAATTGCATATTAATCAGAACGGATCCAACACTTTTATGGTTATTACATTGAGGTTGACACTCAGCGCTATGAATCCGCTGGAAATTGAGCGGTATAAATGCTTATAAATTATAGATTATTATCAGTGACTTAAGGCTTTCTTTATTATCATTTTCATCATCATCATTTTGCATCATCCTAAAGATAAATATACCATTATTTGCTCCTATCATAGAGGGATTATTGAGAAGGAGATCAATTGGCAACAGTTCCCTTTGACGCGACAAAGAAGGTGTTCCCCATCTTGGATCGCGCACGGGCGTATTACCCTATTATTCATATTTTTTCGTTAGCAACAGCTTGGCAACGACATGCATTTATACGCTACAGCACAGTAGTTGTGTGATAAAGCGTTTGATTTTAACCCATTAAATATCTTTACAATGAACAATGTTCCCCTGATTGGATTTTTTCGGACTTTTAGTATGTTATTATGTGTATATTTCAGTAACAGATTCCGTAAAATATTTCTGTTAAAATTACTTCTGTGTTCATTATAATTTTGTCTAAAGATCGATTATTTCGACTACAAAGCTAAGGCAGTGTAAAATTGAAAATTACTCTGATTTTAGATTGAATTTTCGAATAGTTAACCCTAAAATGACTTGGTTTATTATAATCCTCAATCATTCCTTAATTAATATCTGTTAAAATTAGAATTATCGAGTTTTATCCAATTTATGGAAATTCAAGTTGAAATATACCATACTTTTAAAGCTCATGTAAATGTTTCATTAAATTTGAAACTCCTTTTCTTAGAAAATATAATTATGTTTGGTATTTCTTGAAAGATCAATGTATTAGCTTCATTGTAGAAACGACTGCGCAGCCACAGTGATTGACTGTAAGTAGTGCGCAATGAGAAAAGAACGTGCTCTCTATTTCGCCATGTTCTATTTTTTGGTAATCTAAGAATGCTGAGCATTTGGTGGCGGGTAAAACATTAGACTTCAAAGGCATCGCGCAAACGTCCTTCACGCGCTGCGGCAGCTTTGATCTTGGTTCATTTGCATAGCGCTGCGTGCA